ATTTTGCTATTGTAAATAGGGCTGCAATAAACCTATGAGTGCATGTGTCTTTCTGGTGGAATGATTTATCTTTCTTTAGGTATACAACCAGTAATGGGATTGCTGGGTTGAATGGTAGTTCTTTTTTACGTACCCTAAGAAGGTACTTAAAAACTGCTTTCCATAGTAGCTGAACTAATTCCCATTCCCACCAATGATGTTTAAGTGTTCCCTCTTCTCTGCAGCCTCACTGGCATTTTTTTTTTTTTTTTGCCTTTTTAATAACAGCCATTATGACTGGCATGTGATAGTATCTCACTGTGGTTTTGATTTACATTTCTCTGATGATTAGTGATGAGCATTTTTTCATATGTTTGTTGGCCATTTGTGTATCTTTTTCTGAGAAGAATCTGTTCACGTCCTTTGCCCACTTTTTTAGTGAGGTTATCTGGTTCTTTGCTTGTTGAATTCTTTAAGTTCCTTATAGAAGCTGAATATTAGATCTTTGTCAGATTCATAGTTTGCAAATAACCAAAATATATTTTAAATATGTCACAAAACCAGAAGCGTTTGATAATGATGGTGATCAGAGAAAAACAACCTTTTTTTTTTTCTCTATTGGTATTTTATCAGTAGTTTTGAGGTATGTGAAAATAAAACTGGACTCTGAGAAAAAACTGATGTTTTACATTGTGAAAGAATTTCAGATTTGTGAAGGACAGAATTCCCCTATGCCAAGCTTCTCCTAATGTTAACATCTTATATATTAGTAACTATAGCAAAAAATTTCAAAACTAAAAAATTAACATGAATTTAATACAATGAATTAAACTCGGCTTTATTTGGATTCCATTAGTTTACGTTTTCTATTCTAGGATCCTATCCATGACCACACAGCGCATTCTGAGGTCTCTTTAGCATCATCCAGTCTGTAACAGCTCCTCAGTCTCTCCCTGTCCTTTATGACCGTGACACTTTGAAGAGCATTGGTCAGTTATCTTGTAGAACATCCTCAGTTTAGGTTTTTCTTATGTTTTCTCATGACTGGATAGAGGTTATGCATTTTGTGGGAAAGATTCCAAACAGGTGATGCACCTTTCTCAGTGCATTAGGTCCAGGGGATACAAGTTTTATTACTGGTTATAATTAATCATGATCACTTGGGTAAGGTAGTGTCCCACAGGTTTCTCCACAGTAAAGTTACTATTTAACTTTGTAAGTGTTTTTGGGGAGATATCTTGTAACTATGCAAATATTCTGATTCTCCTTTACCCACTAACTTTAACATTAATTAGGGGATCTTGTAACAATTATTATTTATGGCGTTTTAATGGTTCCCTCATATATTTTACATTCATTAATTGAAATTCTTCTGTAAGTATGGACACATGGATATCTGTT